CTAATGCGAGAGTGCACACTGCAGATGGTAATGCAGAATGTCACATGCTATAGCCCAAAAGAGACCGGGTGTCTCATACACAGCCATAGGATAACAATTAACTCTGCGGAGACACGAACTCAGCAATCCTGCCGCGAAGCTAGGTCAATCCACAAAGCAAGAACACAAATAACACTGAGAGCGGAACCACAGTACACAACAGAAGCAAGGACAGAACTTATTTCCTTTTTCTTTCGTTGGGATTTCTTGGCTATCGACCAGCGGCAAGTTAACGCAGCCAGCCTAGATTATTAAGCCAAAGGATCCTATTCAATACCCACACAGGAGCGAAAAGAAGATATGCAAAGTATCAGAAGACCAAACCGGTAGTTCGTCAGTCGAAACAAGCCAAGGGACCCGAACAGCCATGAAAAGAAGCAAATAGAAAACAAACAATCTAACTACGTAACGACCACTACTCCCTCAGGACTTATTGTGACACTTTGGAAACGTCGCCGAAGAGATAGAATAATAGAAACAAATAAATAAAGGAAAGGATACTTAGGAAACAGGCACAGTTTAAGCGAAAACTGTGCATATCGGGCTGTACATCATTACGGTATTTGACTTGGAAAAAAATCTTGAGTCTTTCTCTCGGTGACTTCAACGCCGTCCAAGTAGCGAGACATGGTTCAAAATACGTTCACATCAGTTCGTTATCGCTATCTCTGGCGGCTCGTATGGCATCGGCTGCGACGTATGTGGTCGCCCTCGAGCCGACCGGGCGAGGCGCAGGTGGTGAAGCACCAGCCTCGGGCTTGGGCGCAGAGTTGCGCGCCCGCTCGTTGAAAAAAAAAAAAAAAACATCTTGATAGCCTAGGATCTTCACCACGGGAGGGGGTGGGGGTGCGGTGCGATGGCGCGCTGAAGCCGAGGCGCAAGGCAGGCGAAGCAGCTGCCTCACGCGGGTGCCACTTGGTGCCCGAGGGAGATGGCAGCCCTGGCGAGATCGGCCTTAGAGTCGGCGACTGCGCAGCCGTACGCTACATATATATATATATATATATATATAAATATATATTTACATATATATATATGCATATATACATATATATATTTATATATATGTATATACATTGACATTAATGTTTATATATATATGTATATATATATATTTTTTTTTGCTTATTAACTTCTTTTTTTCCGTTGAATTTCTGCGGGTCTCGCGGATATATATGTATGTATATATATATGTATATATGTGTGTATATATATATGTATATATATGCATCGGCGTAGGGGCATTTAAAATTTAGGGGGGGGGGGCTGCAAATTTTCTGCCCGAGTGAAAGAGGAAGAGAAATTTCACCTGCCAGAAAATTTGTGATGAATGCCACCAGTGGCGTAGATACAGGGGGTCGGGGGGGTGGGGGCGAAAAACCCACCTATAAGGCTAAACTGCCATTTTGTCGGAAAATTTCTGCACTTGTCAGAAAAATAACGATGGTTTTCTGTTTCGTTTAGTTCTAGTGGCCTTATGTTATGTTCAAAATAATAAAAAATGAGAATTAATTTCTCGCCCCCTCTATGAATTTTCCTATCTACGCCCTTGTACATTAATATAACTTTTTACCAATATCTTTTTCGCAAAATGGATAATTTCCAATTTCTATGCCCATTGCCCAAAATTGCCCGAATTCAACCAGCATTTATCCGACTGGAGGTGCTGCAGCCCCCCCAGTCCTACGCTTATGTATATTATGTATGTATGTATATATATATGTATATATATGTATGTATGTATGTATGTATATATATATATATATATATATATATATATATATATATATATGTAAAATATATGTATGACATATATATGTATATGTATGTATATATATATATATATGTATGTATATATATATATATATATATATATATATATATATATATATATATATATATATATATATGTATGACAGCCTTCGTGGTGTAGCGGCTAATACGACGGTCTTTAAAACTGTAAACCCGAGTTCGATTTTTATAACTATAACTAATATTTATGACTGCCACGATGGTCCAGTGGTTGGAGCACTGGACTCCGATCCTCGTGGTCCCGAGTTTAATTCCCCGTCGCGGTGGTCGTAAAAATGCCTGCGCTCTGACTACTAGCTCGAGTCCGAGAAAACGACATATCGCCTTAAGAAGTCAAACGCAGGTGTCGTAGGGGAAGTCACCGCCGTGGCACAAGTGTTAACGCGCCGAACCGCGGTTGATTAGGAAGGGCATTCAATCAGGCAAGGGTGACACTGCCATATAACCTCCCAATAGTGCATTGAGAGAGGCCTATGTCCTGCAGTGGAATGAACGGCTGGTAAAAAAAAGTATATATATATGTATGTATGTATATATATAAGTATATATATATATATATATATATATATATATATATATATATATATATATATATATTGTATATGCGTGTGTATGTATTATTTTCTCCTTTATTCCGGGCTCTGACTCAGCCCCTGCGTTGGTTACTCACCCGGATACAAGGCTGTTGTTTTTCTTCTTTCAAAATCGGCTTCCCTATTCTGCAGGTCACATTCTCATATTCCATATGTATTTGAAAAAGCCACTTCTTCTTGGGGGCTTCACTTTTATATCTGCATACCTGTCTTTCTTCGCTTTCTTATGCTTCTTCTGCTCCTCTGAGGATTCTCCTTTCGATTCCTTGTCTGTTGACTTCTCCTGCTCCTTTGAGGATTTCTCTTTCGCTTTCTTGTCTTTATGCTTCTTTTGTTCATCTGGGGATTTCTCTTTCGCTTTCTTGTCTTTATGCTTCTTTTGTTCCTTTGGGGATTTCTCTTTCGCTTTCTTGTCTTTGTGCTTCTTTTGTTCATCTGAGGATTTCTCTTTCGCTTTCTTGTCTTTAGACTTCTGCTCCTCTGAGGATGTCTCTTTCGCTTTCTTGTCTTTGTGCTTCTTTTGTTCATCTGGGGATTTCTCTTTCGCCTTCTTGTCTTTGTGCTTCTTTTGTTCATCTGGGGATTTCTCTTTCGCTTTCTTGTCTTTCGCTTTCTTCTCTTTCGCTTTCTTGTCTTTAGACTTCTGCTCCTCTGAGGATTCTCCTTCCGATTCCTTGTCTTTAGACTTCTCCTGCTCCTCTGAGGATTTCTCTTTCGCTTTCTTGTCTTTGTGCTTCTTCTGTCCCTCTGAGGATTTCTCTTTCGCCTTCTTGTCCTTAGACTTCTGCTCCTCCGAGGATTTCTCTTTCGCTTTCTTGTCTTTCGCTTTCTTGTCTTTAGACTTCTGCTCCTCCGAGGATTTCTCTTTCGCTTTCTTCTCTTTCGCTTTCTTGTCTTTAGACTTCTCCTGCTCCTCTGAGGATTCTCCTTCCGATCCCTTGTCTTTAGACTTCTGCTCCTCCGAGGATTTCTCTTTCGCTTTCTTGTCTTTCGCTTTCTTCTCTTTCGTCTTCTTGTCTTTAGACTTCTGCTCCTCTGAGGATTCTCCTTCCGATTCCTTGTCTTTAGACTTCTCCTGCTCCTCTGAGGATTTCTCTTTCGCTTTCTTGTCTTTGTGCTTCTTCTGTCCCTCTGAGGATTTCTCTTTCGCTTTCTTGTCTTTAGACTTCTGCTCCTCCGAGGATTTCTCTTTCGCCTTCTTGTCCTTAGACTTCTGCTCCTCCGAGGATTTCTCTTTCGCTTTCTTCTCTTTCGCTTTCTTGTCTTTAGACTTCTCCTGCTCCTCTGAGGATTCTCCTTCCGATCCCTTGTCTTTAGACTTCTGCTCCTCTGAGGATTTCTCTTTCGCTTTCTTGTCTTTGTGCTTCTTCTGTCCCTCTGAGGATTTCTCTTTCGCTTTCTTGTCTTTAGACTTCTGCTCCTCCGAGGATTTCTCTTTCGCCTTCTTGTCCTTAGACTTCTGCTCCTCCGAGGATTTCTCTTTCGCTTTCTTCTCTTTCGCTTTCTTGTCTTTAGACTTCTCCTGCTCCTCTGAGGATTCTCCTTCCGATCCCTTGTCTTTAGACTTCTGCTCCTCTGAGGATTTCTCTTTCGCTTTCTTGTCTTTCGCTTTCTTCTCTTTCGTCTTCTTGTCTTTAGACTTCTGCTCCCCTGAGGATTCTCCTTCCGATTCCTTGTCTTTAGACTTCTCCTGCTCCTCTAATGTTTATGTTGTGCCCTCTGTGGCGGTTTCACTTATCATAGAAGGTAGATATTTGTTTAAAAAACTTTTCAATTACCGAAGCTCTATCTCCTCAGGCAAGGTAGACATTTTTTTCCTATTAAGAAAAAGAAACAGGCCTGCTATCAAAATGAGTCCAACGAGAAGGATTGACAAATTAGCATAAAAGTTTGCCGAACTGTAATGCTCCCTCCCTAAATAAGTCAGCCCTGTAAACAATGCTACCATGTGTTCATACACCATGTCTTCTGTCTCAACTCTGGGATACACTTTCACAGGCTTGGGCCTCTAGTGATTGAACTGCTTCTCAGACAAGGTGTTTATGACTGCGACGAGTGTATATCTGGCAATAGTTGTTTTTGTAAGTTCGCACTTAATTTTTGCTTCCCATACTCCGCTATATTTGATTGCCATGCTTCTGAAGTAGGGCCCAGAGATTTGCGTGGGTGCAGATGTCGTAGAGAATTCGTTGTTTTGATACCATTCGATTCTGTATATGAAACCAGGTAATACCTGTTACAAGTGCTCGGTGTAGTGATATAGCCGTAGCTCTTATCCATACGGCAATACGTAGCTCTCGGTAATGGTTACATAATGGTATTAGAAAATGAGTTCTTTAGTGTTCTGTCCTTGCTAAGGAAGTGTGTAGCGCAAACTCCAAACCCCTTTCATTGAATATGATGTTACATTCAAACTGATAGGGAAATATTTAACAATCTGCCCTCTGCGTACGACGTGTGGGTCATACACTTTCTCCCCATGACTCCAGTAAATTGTTCCCTGCGGATATCGGTACAGCAAGTCCGTGTACTCAGTAACGTTACCTTTAAAGTTTATGGTCTCCCCAACTTCGAGTTGCACGTTGTTGAGAGTTAAGGTGAACAGCTTTAACACCTTTTCGTTGATTTTTACCAACTCCTCGTCATCGCACATGTGTTAATTGCAGGGTTCCGTGGTGGTCACGTTCCCTGCACATCCTTCAGAGAGGGGATGCGGGTATGGATTGTTGCAGGTTCGATACGATAGATAGTGTCCTCCGCCGCAAGCAAAGGAACAGTTCTCAGTGGATTTAAAATCATTCCAGCCACCTCTGGGAAACTAGGATGGGTCGTAAGTTGTATTCTCTGTAGGAAAAGCCAGCAATACGTCTTTCTGAAGGTTAAAACGTACAAATTGTGGGGTGAAGTCAATTTTTCCAGATATAAAACAGTTTTCCATATACACCGTCACTACCGTTGTCTTTAGAAGGTATCTAATTGATGTCCTGTTTACTGTTACATGTAGGGGTAAATATGACTGTCCAATCGTTATATTGCAATAAACTGCTTGGTTACCAAATTTCAAGAAGGGGTATAAATATCTAATTTATTCGTCCTGTTCGTTCAACATATCATAAAAACCTACTGAGAATTCAGATTCCCGCGCGGCGAATACCAAGGCTCTTAATTCCTGAAAGTCATCCTACACTCTGGTTAATTTGTAATACTTCGTGTCGTCATTCGTGTTCATTCCCGTTTGTGTAGTAATTTCATAAACATTATGATGTGGCGTGCTGTTGTCCAATTTGATCATAATGGCTGAGTTATTCATCGGCTCGCTGCATAAGTAGAAATTAATGAATGTCAATTTCTTCGGCAGTTTTCGACTGTGGACGAGCTGTTCTCCCAGATAGGTATTCCAAAATCCAAGGCGATCTTCTTCTATTGTGTATTCAGTAAAAGCAGTGTGGCTGTAAAATGGATAATTTATATGATCATCCATAATAGTGGCATTTTTCGATTATATTCTGTAAAGTATGTCAGGGAGTGCCATTTGCTCCTCTCTGAAGAGGCCAATACAAAATTCACTAGCATCGTCATTATTCGCTCTAACGTGAAACTTGTAAAATGAAAGGTTGCTACTTGTTCTATATAGCCAATTAAACTTGGATTGCGCCGTTTTTCTCCTCAAATCAAGATAGAACATATGACCAGGAATGTCGTGGCAGAGTTCCGCACTACAAAATTCTTTGTAATTGGCATTCACGTCACAGTGTGGGCCGAAGGGGCTACGCTAACCCTCTGGCGTGCCGCAACGAGATCTGTTCGGTGTGTGTACTAGTATGCATTGCCTTTAGTTGACAGATTTATATAACTCACTCTAAAAGTTTCGGCCTTCCAGATTGAGCGTGCAGTTCACGGAAATAGTGTAATAGTCGACTGTAGGGCAACGTAGAAGCTTATCCTTTGCATGGCTGGAGCATATTAGCTCCTGGGATCCCTGCAGCTTCACACAATAATTTGACTCGTACTTTGCCGACTCAGTATTGTACTGTTTATACCACGGAGCGCAGACTTCGAACTCGTTTCCTTTCCCGTAACCATAGTTGAGGTCCGTCCGCATGAATTAATTGGGTGTGTCATAAACAAGAAACGGATTGTCCATTGCAGGTTTGCACTTATCATCGATCAGCAAGTGCCAGGACTGTATGTGCCTCCTCTGCTTTACAGGATCTTTTTGAAGGGTGAGCGACCAAAAGCGATAAAAGTGCGGGGGTTGGAGAGTAAAGTTGTGCGTCGAGTTTGTAAACTCTAGGTGTACTTCTCCAGACACGTTCGTGAACTGTATGTGGACCAAGACACCGTAACCTTGTTTTACAGGGGTGGGTAAAACTACCTTAATTGGCTCTCTATCGCAATGCTCTATGGTCCCTACAGAATCCAGTGTTTTAAAGGTACTGCACTCCATGTACTCAAAATGTTTTTCTGTAAAGGTGATCTACAGGGCATGCACTTGATGTGGATGTTACACGTAAAGATTCCTTTAAAAATTCCTTGATAGGAGATCTCTCTTCAAGGATCTCGAGAATAAACTAGCCACGAGGGATTGATCGGTTTTCCTAACGTTATCCTTAAATATTCTGCTCTACAGGATTGCGTTCGAAAGAATTAATACTGAGGGGAAGTTCCGTATGTCAAGTCGTAGCTTCCGCTCTTTAGCTGGTAGGTGCAGAGGGATCATGTTCTTTATCGGGCACGCAGACGTCATGGTGCTCGACTGCTCGTTATAGTCCGATAACCTGGCCAAGGGGATAAGGCCCTGCACTTACATCGGAAGTTACTTCTTGGGCTTAAATTCAGGAAAGAGTCCACCCGAAGGGCACACCCATGCTTTTCTATTAACTTTTTCCAAAAGAACCATATAGGTGCCAGTTTTTCCCGCAAAGTGAATATGTTTTGGCAAATGTGTGTTATTTGCCATGTACATGTCTGCCAAAGGTCCTCGAAAGCCTTCTAGATACAACTTGAATTTATTGCGAGATATTATTGCTGTGAATGGAACCCAAGAGTAAGTGAT